AAAAATGTGGCACATATACACAATGGAATATTATGCAACCATAAAGAAGGACAAACACATGGACTTCGCAGCAACTTGAATGGATTTATTTATTTATTTATTTATTTATTTATTTTGAGTTGGAGTCTCACTCTGTCGCCCAGACTGGAGTACAGTGGCCGCTTCCGACCACCGCAGTCTCGACCTGCTGGGCTCCGGCGATCCTTCCACCTCAGCCTTCCGAGTTGCTGGAACTACAGACGCATGCTACCACACCCAGCTAATTTTTTGATTTATTATAGAGATGAGGTCTCATCAGGTTGCCCAGGCGGGTCTCGAACCCGCGGGCTCAGGCAATTCACTCACCTCAACCTCCCAAGTCACGGGATTACAGGCTGAGCCACCAAGCCCGGCTTGAATGGATTTAGAGTCTATCATACTCAGTGATCTGTCACAGAAACGAAGGAAAGAGTACCATATGTTCTCACTCATAAGTGGACCTTGAACAATTATCATAATACCATAAGAAAGGGATTGGCAATAGTGAGAAACTGCCAGGGGAGAGGTTGTGGGATTGGCAGTTGAGGGAAATTGCCAGGGGACACACCTCATCAACAAGGGTAACTGCATATTGAACATTTGTATACCTAACCCTGAATTGTACCCGACACATTTAAAATAAAATAATAATAACAATAATGCTGCAATAAAATAAAAAATAGTAGTCCTATAAAAAAGAAAAGTCGAAATAACATAAAAAATCAAGTCCCATCAACATCTTTTAGTCTAAATTGTACAAGGAATAAAAAGCTCTTTGTGGTTGAAATGGAGTATTTACTTGTACTTTGGATTCAAGACTGTAATTAAAAAAAAAACAACTCCCAATCAGTTTGGCTATTGTTCAGGTCAAAACGTTGAAGTTATTTTCAGTAAGATATTCATTTCAGAAATCTGCATGAATTGATTAATGCTAATCTATCTGGTGAAGATACTAGCACAGATAATCATACTGCTGTAAAATTTACATCCAGATTTCAATGATTAGTTAAGGTGGATAGTCATGGTAATCATCAACTATTTAACGTGGATGAGATAGGTCTGTTTTGAAAAGCAGCCCCATCAATAACTTATATGATAAAAGATGAAGGGTCACTAAATGCCCATAAAAAAGAGAGACTGGTGCAAAAGTAATTGCGGTTTTTGCCTTGTTGAAATTTGCTATTTGATACTGAAATATATTCTTAAATAAGTGTGGTCATGTTATACATCATTTTAATGCACCTTTCTCACTTTACTTTTTTGCTAATGACATTGCTTGATGTTTATTTTACATTTATTTTAGACTATGGAAATCGTATTAGGCAAAAAGTAAAGTCGAGCGATTTTCTTATTTGAGTTCAAAATAGGTCGTAAAACAGTGGAGACAACTCGCAACATCAACAACGCATTTGGTCCAGGAACTGCTAGTGAATGTACAGTGCAGTGGTGGCTCAAGAAGTTTTGCAAAGGAGACAAGATCCTTGAAGATGAGGAACGTAGTGCTTGGTCATCAGAAGTTGACAACAACCAATTGAGAGCAATCATAGAAGGTGATCCTCTTACAACCACACTGCTGAAGAACTGAAAGTTGATCATTCTATGGTCATTTGGCATATGAAGCAAATTGGAAAGGTGTAAAAGCTCAATAAGTGAGTGCCTCGTGAGCTGACCCAAAATTTTTTAAATTGTCATTTTGAATTGTTGTCTTCTCTTATTCTGCGCAACAACAAAGAACCATTTTTCAATCAAACTGTGAAATGCAATGAAAAGTGGATTGTGTATGACAACCAGCAATAACCAGCTCAGTGGTTGTACAGAAGAAGCTCCAAAGCACTTCCCAAAGCCAAACTTGCACCAAAAAGAGATCATGGCCACTCTTTTGTGGTCTACTGCTGGTCTGATCCACTACACCTTTCTGAATCCCGGTGAAACCATTACATCTGAGAAGTACGCTCACCAAATGGATGAGATGTGCCGAGAACTGCAATTATGGCACTAGTAGTGGTCAACAGAAAGGGCCCAATTCTCCTCCACAACAACGCCCGACTGCACGTAGTACAACCAACTTCAAAAGTTGAACGAATTGGGCTACAAGGTTTTGCCTCTTTTGCCATATTCACCTGACCTCTCGCCAACTGACTACCACTTCTTCAAGCATCTTGACAACTTTTTGCAGGGGAAATGTTTACACAACCAGCAGATGCAGAAAATGCTTTCCAAGAGTTCATAGAATCCCAAAGCACGGATTTTTACGCTACAGAAATAAACAAACATTTCTTGTTGGCAAAAATGTGTTGATTATAATGGTTCCTATTTTGTTCAATAAAGATATGTTTGAGTTTGGTTGCAATTATTTAAAATTCATAGCCTGAAACCGTAATTACTTTTGCACCAACCTAGCTCTTCAGCTTGCAAATCACTATGTAGATAATAGATGTGCATCAAGACCATGCCACTTCTTTCAAAGTCTGTTGGTGATTGGTCACTGTGTATCTGTTATTCAGTTCATATACAGACCACAAAGCATGTACTGTTGTGTTACCTCCAGATATGCCAGAGAAACCTAGTAAAGATGAACTTAACATAAATGAGAAAAGTGGTTGTGACAAAAAGAAAGATGTCCAAAAGGAAGTGATGTCGGAAATTTTTTTTTAAAAAAACCTCCACATTAAAAGAACTCTCAGAGATATTTCACAAGATTTAAAGTACAAAGGATAAAATGTTGGAAATTGATCCAAACTTAAAAAGGAATATGACAATGTCCCCGCCAAGGCACAGAAAACATGCACGCTTCGTATTGTAAATTATACTACAAGAAGAAGGCAAGCACTGTTGAAACTACTTCTCAAGTTTTAAAAAAAATTCTCAATGTTCCTGTTTCAAATTACAATGCACTAAATAAATATTGGTGTACTATTCCATCATTGCCCTATTCACTTATACTTGACAGTAAGAGTTTCTAAAGTTTTGACAATTTTAAAGGTTATGGAGCAATTATAATTTTTCCCATTGATTACTAAGGTTCCAGCTTGCAATGGTCATTTTTATGATCCTGCACCACTGTGAAAGCAAGGACTGTCAGCATTTGTAGATCTTTTCCTGGACCATTCAGTTTCTCTGGAGAGCAATCTTCCAGTCCCTTGCCTGGTGACTACATATCTAGGTGCTAACTGGGTCTGAGTAGCACAAGAATTACCAGGGATCTCACCATTGAATATGCAGACTTAACCCCACTTAACCCCACTGTTTTCTAATGGTACTTTGCTCTAGGCCTCATATCCCCCAAACCAATGTCTCTTTGATTCAGTTTCTTCATGGAATAAATCTCTTGTCTCCTACCAAGATGGAGGAAGAATTCAGAGGTGTAATTCTCATTTATACAATAAGGTTTTCAGCCAAACTCCCTTTTTCTTTTTCTTTTTTTTTGAGTTGAAGTCTCACTCTGTCGCCCAGACTGGAGTGCAGTGGCTGCTCCCAGCCACCGCAGCCTCAACCTGCTGGGCTCCGGCGATCCTTCCACCTCAGCCTTTCGAGTAGCTGGAATTACAGGCATGCACTACCACGCCCGGCTGATTTTTTGATTTATTGTAGAGATGAGGTCTCGCTGCCCAGGCGGGTCTCGAACCCGCGGGCTCAGGCAATCCACTCACCTCAGCCTCCCAAAGGCGCGGGATTACAGGCTGAGCCACCGAGCCCGGCTCAAACTCCCTTTTTCAACTCCACTCTTTCACTCCAGCTTTACTATAACTCCTATGTCATTCTGGGATTCTATAGGTAAACTGGCTTCTCATTGGCATTATCCCTTGAATGGACTTGGTATTCAGCCCAAAACTCTGCTAACTCCTCCATCTGTTTTCTATTTCCAATTTTTTTTCACATCTCTTATCTCTTATCCCATGTGGTCTTCTTTTCTGCATTCTTTGTTTTCGGGGGTTTAAAAAATATTTACTTTAAAAAATTTATTTACTCCCAGTTTAGTGGGGTTTAATGAAGGAATAGGTGTTCAGTGTGCTGTTTAAATGGTATACTCTAGTATCATAAAATGATAGTGATACCTGTCTGCCCTATTGTGTAATTTTTTTTTTTTTTTGGGCAGAGCTTAAGTGCTTGGGTTAAGACATCAAGAAAGTAGATAACAGAATTCATTCATAATTAGAGGTTTGGGTTTTGGTTTGATTTGGTTTTTTTGAGTTGGAGTCTCACTCTGTCACCCAGGTTGCAGCCTCGACCTGCTGGGCTCAGGCGATCCTTCCACCTCAGTCTTCCAAATAGCTGGAACTACAGGCACATGCCACCATGCCCAGATAATTTTTTTGATTTATTGTAGAGATGAGGTCTCACCAAGTTGCCTAGGCTGGTCTCGAACCCATGGACTCAGGCAATCCTCTCATCTCAGCCTCCCAAAGTGCTGGGATTACAGGATTGAACCACCGCGCCTGGCCCATAATTAGAGTTTTACTAGACAAGTACAGCAAAAATTCAGAGAGAGAAGAGAGTTTGGGACAGTGCAAGATGTTGAAATGATGAATCATGTAATATAAGTTGACTAAAAATGGAAGAAAAGAACGAAGTGAGCTTATGGACTGAGAGAAAATTAAGGGATCCGTATACTGATGTTCCTGATTAAGTTAAAAGAAAAGGTTATAGTTGGAATAGTTGAAAAAGTAATCAAGGAGAGGATCTCAAACAGTGGATGTTTGGAGACTGAACAGTCATGGGTAGCTGAGGTAATGTAGAGAACAAAATCATTGGAATGAGGTACCAAAGAACTGAGGGACCAGTTGAATGAGTTATCCACATGAATGTTGAAGTCATATAGGATCATAAGAAAAATTCATCATACTTGAAGGCAGTAGGGTTTTTTTGGAGAACAGCCACAGCCAGGAAAAAAAAAAGAAAAAGAAAAAGGAAGGAGGAGGAGGAGGAATCTGTTTCAGCTAGAAATTGGCTCAAGATTTTCCGTGCTACCCAGAGAGGGGTCCATACGGCGATGTTCTGAACTTGTGTCATCATTTAAAGGGAAACTTTCACAATGTTTGGAGCCCTTGATGTCCTGCAAATGAAGGAAGAGGATATCCTCAAGTTCTTTGCAGCAGGAACCCACTTAGGTGTCACCAACTTTGACTTACAAATAGAACAGTACATCTACAAAAGGAAAAGTGGTGGCATCCACGTCATAAATCTGAAGAGGGCCTGGGAGAAGCTTCTGCTGGCAGCTCGTGTCATTGTTGCCATTGAAAAACCAGTTGCGGCCAGGTTTTTTTAAAAAATTAGCTGCGTGTGGTAGCACACGCCTGTAGTTCCAGGTACTTGGAAGGCTGAGGCGGAAGGATCGCTGGAGCCCAGCAGGTCGAGGCTGCAGTGGCCGGGAGCGGCCACTGCACTCCAGCCTGGGCGACAGAGTGAGACTCCAACTCAAAAAAAAAAAAAAAAAGAAAAGAAAAGAAAAGAAAAACCAGTTGACATAAATGTCATATCCTTCAGGAATGCTGGCCAGCGAGCTGTGCTGAAGGTTGCTGTTGTCACCGGAGCCACTTTTATTGCTGGCCACTTCACTCCTGGCACCTTCACTAACCAGATCCAGGCAGCCTTCTGGGAGTTGTGTCTTCTGGTGGTTACTGAACGTGGGGCTGACCACCAGCCTTTCACAGAGGTGTGTTACATTAACCTGCCTACTATTGTTCTGTGTAACACAGATTCTCCTCTGCATTATGTGGACATTGCCATCCCATGCAGCAGCAAGAGAGCTCACTCAGCGGGTCTGATGTGGTGGATGCTGACTTGGGAAGTTCTGCGCATGCATGGCACCATCTCCCGTGAACACCCGTGGGAGGTCATGTCTAATCTCTAATTCTGCAGAAATCCTGAAGAGATTGAAAAGGAAGAGTAGGCTGTTGCTGAAAAAGCTGTGACCAAGGAGGAATTTCAGGGTTAATAGACTGCTCCAGCTCCTGAGTTCACTGCTACTCAGTCTGAGGTTGCAGACTGGTCTGAAGGCATGCAAGTGCCCTCTGTGCCTGCCTGTTCATTCAGCATTTCCCTACTGAAGACTGGTGAGCTCAGTCTGCCAACACCTTGATCTTAGCCGAGTGAAACTGATTTGGGACTTCTGGACTCCAAAACCATGAGAGAATACATTTCTGTTGTTTTAAGTCACCAAGTTTGTGGAAATTTATCACAGAGGCCACAGGAAATGAATTCAGCTACAAGCTACTGAGCTTTTACCATGGGCCAGGTACCATGCTAAGGCCTCTCTATGCATTATCTCATTTAACCCTCACAACAGCCCAAAGAGGTAGATACAATTGTTAACTCCATTTTACAGCTAGAGTAACTGAGGTTTAGAAATGATAAATAACTTTCCCAACGTTACACATCAGCGAATGGTAGATTGAAAGAGCTACCCCAAATCTACATGGTCCTAGAGCTCCCACTCTTAGCAACTACCCAACATTTCAATTAGAATAGCCAGTTTCACGCCTGTAATCCCAGCACTTTGGAAGGCGGAGGCGAGAGGATTGTCTGAGCCCGGGAGTTTGAAACCCGCCTGGACAACTGGGTGAGACCTTATCTCTACAATAAATCAAAAAATTAGCTGGGCATGATGGCGTGCCCCTTAAGTTCCAGTGTCTTGGAAGTCTGTGGTGGCCATGAGCATGCTACTGCTCTCTAGGCTGGGTGACAGAGTGAGACCTGACTCAAAAAAAAAAAAAAAAAGAATAACCAGTTTCACAGCCTTTGGAAAGCCTCCCTGAGAAAATGGGAAATAGGATAGGGAATTGGCTGAGTGTAAAGTAGAAAGTCAAGGCACAGAAAATACCAAGGAATGAACAAGAAACTTTCTAGACCAACAAAGCAACTACTCATGTATTCATTTGTTCATTTAACACATATTTACTGAGTGTCTACTATGTGCTTGGCATCTGCTACATGTTGTGGGAATAAAAATAATCAATGACTGAACTTCTTTTGGAACCTCTCTTATCTCCTCTGTCCCAGAGTGAACCACAAGTAGCTTTATTGGGCAACATTGGCCAGAGCCACTGTCCCATCTCCCTGCTGAGGGCCCGCTTGAGCTTTCTTCATTCTAATGAGCAGTCAACAGATACACGAGAAAATGCTCAGCCTCACTAGTCATCAAAGAAATGCAAATTGAAATCACACTGAGATACCACTTAACTCCGGTCAGGATGACCATCATCAATAACTTAAAAAAAACAGATGCTGAAGAGGATGCAGTGAAAAGGGAATACTTCTACGTTGTTGGGGGGAGTGTAAACTAATACAACCTCTGTGGAAAACAGTTTGGCGATTCCTAAAAGATCTAAAAATCAACTTCCATATAACCCCACAATCCCCCTACTGGGAATATACCCAGAGGAACTCAAATTACTCTATAAAAAAGATACCTGCACAGGTATGTTTATTGCAGCATTGTTCACAAAAGCAAAAACATGGAACCAACCGTGCTGCACAGCGAAAGAGGACTGGATTTTTATAAAATGTACATATACACGATGGAATATTACACAGCCATAAAGAGGGACAAAATTATGAACTTCACAGCAACCTGGATGGACTTAGAATCTATAATACTGAGTGACCTATCACAGAAACAAAGAACTGAGTACCACATGTTCTCACTTATAAGTGAACCTTGAACAGTTATCGTAATACTGTAAGAAAAGGATTGGCAGTAGTGGGAAACTGCCAGGGGAGGGTGGGGGAGGGATTGGCAGTAGTGGGAATCTGCTGGGGGGGCATACCTCATCAACAAGGGTGCATGCATAATGAACATTTGTATACCTAACCATGAATTGTATCCCTCATCTTTAAAATAAAATTTAAACCGGGCTCGGTGACTCAGCCTGTAATCCCACGCCTTGGGAGGCTGAGGTGAGTGAATTACCTGAGCCTGCAGGTTCAAGACCCACCTGGGCAACTTGGCGAGACCTTGTCTCTACAGTAAAAATCAAAAATTAGCCGGGCATGGTAGCGCGTGCCTGTAGTTCCAGCTACTCGGAAGGCTGAGGTGGAAGGATCGCCGGAGTCCAGCAGGTTGAGGCTGCGGTGGCCGGGAGCGGCGACTGCCCTCTAGTCTGGGTGACGGAGTGAGATTCCAACTCAAAAAAATAAAATAAAATAAAATAAAATTTTAAAAAACCAACCATCCAGCCAGACCCTCAATTTGTAGAAGATTTTCAGTCAAGAAGAGTCGAATCAAGGTCAAACTTCTCTAAAGTGATTATTACCCTCTAGCATCTCCTAAATCCTGGAATGATCTTGACTTTCCTTAAGACTCCCATCCACTGCTGGTCAGATAAATCCTGCACTGTAGAGCTCAACCAGCTTTGGAAAGGGATTTGTGAACAGAGTTTGCTTGAAAACACTAATACCCAAGAAAAACATGGGAACCACTTAGAGGCAAGTGCTGTTTTTCACCGATTGCCCTGCAACACTGCTTTCTGAACTCCTATACTTCACCTCTTGCTGCCTTTATCCACACATTCATTAGTTTCTGCTCAAGAAACCAATCAAGTTGGAATAGATGAATACAGCTATGTGTATGCATGAGCTTGGTCCATTTCCCAGTATGGAGACTGTCTTATGATAAAGCTTCCATGAATACATTGCATTGCAAAAGCAGGAACTGCATACAAATTGACCTTTTATCGTCTTAAAAGATCTTCCCTGAGGACTTTCTAAGCATAAATGCAATGGAAGAAGTCACAAAGGGAAAACATGGATAGATGTGACATAGTTGAAATTAAAAAGTTATGTGCATTAAAAAAATAGACATTACTGGTGATTAAATAAATTGGTGCCTTTCATGAAGGGCAGTCTGGCATATGTACTAAAAACCTTTCAAATTTCCTTACCATGTCACCCAGGAATCCTACTGCTAAGAATTTATCCAAAGGAAGCAAACTGTATGAGCACAAAGAATTTGCTATGAGGATATTTATCTCAGCTTTAATTATAATAGTGGAAGGTTGGACGCAACCCAAATGTTCTATAATAGAGAACTGATACATTGATTTGATGGAATACAATGCAGACATTAAAAATTATGTTCTTAAAAATATTTAATGCTATAGGAAATGTTTAGGACATAATTAGGTGAAGAAAGCAGGATATAAAATGTATAGTTTTAAATACAATAAGGATATGTACTCATTACTTCAAAAAATATGTATTGAGACTCTACTGTGCTGTTTTGAGTACAGTGATCGACTCTAGGGATACAGCAGTGGGCCAGACAGTCTTTTTACTTATAAAGGAAGAGAGACTGGAAGGACATACACCAAAATTGATATGATTAAAAGTACCTATATCTGAGTGGGAATAAGGATGGTTTTAATATTTTTTTTGATACTTTCTATATTTTCCATAATTACATAATGCTTTCATAATCAGGGAAAAATTATTTTTAAAAATCTCCAAATCAGAGCTTGTGCCTGTAAACCCAGTTACTCAGGAGGCTGAGAAGGAAGGATCATTTGAGGCCAGGAGTTCAAGATCAGCCTGGGCAACATAGTGAGAACCGTCTCAAAAAACAAACAAACAAACAAACAAAAACTCCTTCAAACAGAGCTTTTGTTAAGCTGAATACACAAAATATCTCGTGTTCATTAACTCTTGATGATTCGGACCATTTCCTTGACCTTCAATTTATTTTATTCTCCCAACAATCCTGTAGGGATAGATAAAGGCAGGGATTATTACGTCCACTGTATGGATAAAGAGATTGAGGCAGAAGAAGCAAGTGTTTGTCCTGGAAAACTGAGTGAATTTGGGATAAAATCATAGTCCTAAAACAAAGTTTCAAGGCTCTTAGCTCTACCATGTTTTCCTGAAGGTGTTGGGAAGGGAAAGAGCCTCCCAAGGCTTTGATCTAAATTCCTTTCCAGACATTTCCCCCACTCCCAAGGCCCTATTGTCTTTCCCTTTTGTTCCAAGCTATTGCATACTACAAATAAGCAAGAAAAGTTTTCAGATCATTTTACTTCTAGTCTCCCCAAAATTTAGAATTGTAGAATCACAGAAAAAAGGGATCTTGGAATCTTGGAAAACCTCCTATCCAAGTTGCAAAGATCGCCTTGAATGTGCCCACTGCTCCTGATCTGTCTCTCTATCTCTCTCTGCCAGGCATAGGTACCTTTTCTTTTCCTCCCCTCCCACCTCTTTTGGGAAGCCTGCTAGATGGCTGTTTGACTGAATAAACAAATTAGACCTAATGTCTGCTGGCTGGTAATGAACTCATGCCTGAATAGCAAATACTTATCGTATTTGCATTTTAACTAGGAACTCTGAAGACACCCAACCCAAAGGAACTACAGAATTTCAGGCAGTATAGTAGGCTAGCTAGGGAGGTACCCCTGTGAAGGATCATGTTTTGACAGCTCTGCTAAAGATTTTACAAAACCCAGGCAGGTTACATACTCCTAGGGAGGTGCATGTGTGATCAGCCCGATCCTCAGGGAGCTGGCAATGTTGAAGGGAAGGACTGAGGATACAGGTCTACAGTGGCAGGTCCTCCTGGCCTCTGCCTAAGGATTAGCTGGAGCAGCCAAGCACAATGCCTACAGTCACTCAGGAGGAAGTAAAAGAGCCTGATGAACAGGGAAGACAATGAGATGCTAGTGGGAAGATTTCCAATACTTCTGAGAGAAAAAACAAATCCAATTCTCATTCATTCATCTCTTGATTCCAGCCTCCATTCCCCTTAGCTACCACAGGTCAAGGCAAATTTGAGCCCTATGTAGTCAGCTTCTTTGCCTTGGTTCTGATGTCTACTTAGGCCTGCTGCAGCTGCAACTACCTCTTAGGACCACCCTCCATCCACCAGCACAGCTGGCTCCCCAGTTTGCTGCAAGGAAAAATGGAGATTTTGTTTCTGGGGTTCTGCTTCACTGCTTCCACTTCAGGGCTTGCCCTCTGAGGCATGCCACTCTCCCCTCCACCCACCCATCACCCACCCCCATGACTTTTCCCCAAACCTAAAGCTGTTTTTGGATGCACCATTTCTGGAACCAGAGGAACTAAAACTCAGGCCTGGCTTGA